GGAGGAGGAGGAGGAGGAAGGTATCGTCTCATTATGACCTCAATATAACGCTCCTTTTGGTTTTTTTAATTGTATTCATCGGGCGGGTCTTAACCTGTGTCTGATTTTACTAATTTTTTAATTTAAAGGTAACTGAAGTGAAAATACTCCACTACAACAGAAAGTGAATTTAAAAATAAAAGTGTAATGTAAATATTATCAGCAAGATTTGTATAAAAAGTACTAATTCTGCAGTAAAATGTTCCCTGTCAGTGTTTTACTATTATATATGATGTTTTTTAATTAATATTACAGCTGCATTAAATTGTGTGTTGCATTTTACTGCTGTACATGCTTAAGGTTGAGGTCATTTTAATCACTATCATACATTTGTAGAATCACTGTCCCATAAAAACAGCCTTGTTTTCAGCTTTATGACAATTGCATTTTCCAGACAATCCCAAAAGGGTTTTAAATAGTTTATGTAGTTGAGAATCTTCCCAGCCTATAAAGGAAAACATTTCGGTTCATCAGAAACATTCAAAATTGGAGATACATGGTTTTCCCAGACAGGAAGGGTACTGTAATACATAACTACAGCTGTGAGACAAATGTAGTGGAGTAAAAAGTAGAATATTTAGGAATTGTAATGGACTATAAGCATAAAGTTGCAAAAAATTTAAAATACTCAAATAAAGTACAGTAATTTAATATATTTACTTAGTTACATCCCACCACCGGTCCTCCTGCAACACTGAATCCTTTTAAATAAACATGAATTGAAATAAAATAACATGTACAGTCTCTTTTGCCTGTTATTTGATATATGGTATATATATGATATATGTTGTATGTTGTGCAGACTATAAAACCCTATATAAATACAATTAAGGTATTTAGTGTGTTAATTCATGTGTTATGTTTTTCTTTATCACTGGGTTTTAAAATGAATAAAAGTTGTATTTTATTTCGGGGCCTAAGAATAGCTCTGCTGCTCCGTCTGTTCATTCATCTGTCCAACGGTTTGGTCCAAAGCAAAGAATCCTATGAAATGGTGCAGATATTCATAGACTCCAAAGGATAAATTCATAATGTTTTTAGTGATGCTCTGACCTTTTGTCAACAGTGTCACTGTGTCTTTCATCAGGTTCCTGAAAGCTGCCAGACTGTCCAGAAAAGTGCAGCAGTGAAATGATTCAGACACACACAA